CTATATAGCAGGTTGCCCTCAAACTCCAAGGGTCAAACCATCCTCTTACCTCTCAGCCTCTTGAATAGCTGAAGTTAGAGGCCTGTGCCAGCATGCCCACTTGGAAGACCACTTACCTCTGCTTCTCAAGTCGCTCTTTAGTAATCCCTCAAGGAAGAATTTTATTTTATGATTTTTTTTTTTCAGTACTGGGAATTGAACTCACGACCTTGCGCTTGCCAGGCAGGCACTGTGCCGCTGAGCTAAATTCCCAGCACCTCAAGGAAGAATTTTAAAAATAGCTAACCATTATTGGTGGAGCACTTTCATCTTTACAATGAATAAATCATGTAACAGAGCCTCAGATGGTCCCCCCTTGTCTACCTTCCTCCTCTTCCATAGTAACGAGAACCCTTCTTTTTGGCTCTGCACCACGCTGCCTGGAATTTCCCACCCTTCTTGCAGCTAAGACTTTGCTAATGAGATAGAAGCAGAAACGTTGTGTGGAAGCTCCTGGCGACTTCCCTTCAAAGGAAGATGGTCTCTGCTTCATCCTTTCCTCTATCTTGATTACTGGAACCAGTGTGAAGATTGCCACTTTAGCCCCCATCTTGGATTATGAGGGCAAGCGCCAAGCCGAGGAACAGAGGGCAGTGAGGTGAGGCCGGGCCCCTGAAATGTAGTGGAACAGCATGGGCCTTCTGCTTTACAGCCTGGGTGCAAGAGAAAAAGAAACTGCTCCTATTCATTAGGTACTTTCATATTCTAGTTTTATCCAGGTGCAGTGGTGCATGTCTGAACTCTCATGCCTGAAATCTCTGGGACGCTGAGACAGGAATATCGTAAGTTCAAGCCTATGTAGCTTAGCATGACCCTGTCTCAAACTGAAAGACAATAAAAGGATTGGGATATTGATTAGCGCAAAGGCCCTGGGTTCATTCTCCATTGCTGAAAAAAAATTCCAGTTTTGCAAAAGAGAAAACTGAATTAGCCAAAGGAAATCATTTGACAAGACTGACTATCTAGCAGATGAAAGAGTCAAAAGCTGAACCTGATTTTTTTCTTTTTGATACCAGGAATCGAACTCACAACCTTGCACTTGCCAGGCAAGCGCTGTGCCACTGAGCTATATCCCCAGCCGTCCAATAAACCTGATTTTTGCCAAAGTTCATGAGTCTTCCTCCCTCTCAGTGCTTCCTTTCAGACCAGGAGAGTAATGGTTTCTGACCTTCAGTGGTGAGCAAAAGCCTTTTGCAAAGCTGAAAGTGTCTGGCTGTGAAACCACAGTCTCCATTGTCATGCCATCATTTGTTTCAAAAAGAAAATCACAAGCCACAAGGGTGACGGTGAAACTCAGTTGCACATCACCTTGAGAGTCCTGGAATGTCACCGCCACCACAGAGGGTCTGACTTGCATGAAGACTCTTAGGCCTTCTAGGAGAAATTGCTACCTTGAGATCTAATGATTGGAACCTTAGAGAGATGGCTGATACCAGTGATGGGATGATGAAGTAGGCCTTAATCACTGAGGGAGGCCAGAGGTCCTAATCCTAGGAGGAAAGCAGAAGCCTAGAACAAGAAAGGTGTAGCTGTGGGCAGTGGAAGGGCATATCAGTCTCCCTGTGGGGCACAATCAGACCAGTGAGAGGGGCTGAGGCAGATGATGTCACAAATCCCATCCCAGACCTTAGATAACTGAAAGAGCTTCGTAATCTTGTTCAAGTCCAAACATATTTGTTTAGATGTCAGACTGCTTAAGCTTTGTGGAGAAAGCTTTCGGTTTTTTACAGGGGACACTGGAAGTGAAGAGAGGCTGTGGTATGATTGGATAGAGATAAAATTGACAGTGGTGGTCAAGGTTGGGGAAGAGCAGAGGCAAAGTATTAGCACCAGCAGAAATGACTGGAAGGTAGAATGTAAATCCTATGTGTTGTGACTGCATACACCGTCAGCGGAGACATCAGAACAATTGGTAGAGAAGAGCATGTGGTTGATTTGTTTGAAAACCTAGCAGAGGCACAATCTGGGGCACATCTGACATGTTCCTTTGGAATTTGAGGGGATATTAAAAATGTATGTTTCTCTAGCCAGATGTAAAAGGGCAACTATGATCTGGTTTCACTTACATGAGGTCCCTAGAATCGTCAAACTCATAGAAAGAACAGTGGTTAGTAGGGCCTAAGGGGAGGAAGGAATGGAGAGTTATTTGGTACAGTGTTTCAGTTTAAAGTGATGAAAAAGTTCTGGAGATGGTGGTGGTGATTCTTGTACAACAATGTGAATGTAGTTAATACAACTGAACTGTACACTTAAAATAGTTAAAAAGATTAAATTTTATGCTGTGCATATTTACACACACACACACACACACACACACACACACACACACACTGTTTCTGTACGCAGAACATATATTTTCCCCCCAACTTCTTCTTCCTACTAAAGAGAGGAGCCCCAGATAACCCTGTACAATGCCCTCAAGTCCTATACTTTTCGCTCATTCCTGCCTTGACCTTATTTTTACCCTGTTGCTGGATTTACCTGGTTCAGACATTGGGTGTCTTCTTCCATTTTTGGAAATTCCTTGTTCCTTGGATTTAATAAAGATTTTGCATGTGGAACTCAGTTGTTGATGTACATTCCTGGAAACAATGTTCTCTCTGTATTTTACCTCAGCTATTATGGAATGTGGCACCGCTATGCCTCAAGTTGTTCCCATTGCCTGGGACCCACTTGTGCCATGGTCCTCTCCAGCCTGATCTGAGTGCAGTTAAAATGAAGGACAACTCAGCCACATCACAACTCAAGCATACATCGATCTCTCCCTTCTCTAATTCTCTATACTCAAGACCTAGAGTGCTCAGGATCATCTACATACCTCCCTATAACACCCCTTGGAGTGGAACAAGACTGAGGTCATGCTGAACGTGCCACTGTGGTGATGAGAAGACAGGACAGCAGGCAGGTCAGCTTTGGAGACAGGCCAGCCTAGCAGACATGCCTGCAGTGGCTCATAAGGCCAGCCCAAGGGTCGGGTAGTTCTGATAGCAGGACCCACAAGTGACTTTGTGTTTGATTTCTTCCCTGATGAGAGCTATATGAGATTGCCTTTACTACCTGATTCCACATGTGGAATAACATGGAAGTTTTCCCAGCTTTAAGGGGATTTCCCGAGTTTTACACACTCTGGCTTTCTCTCCCTCCAGACATCTGCACTCCACTGTGCTGGCTCCATTTTACCTCTGCTCACCCCAAATGAAAAACTCAGTCCTTTAACTGAGTTATCCCTAACAAAATTTACAATAAATATTTATAATTTGGTATCCTCTCTCAGGCTTTTATGTGGATGTATGTATGTGCGTGTGTAGTCTTTAGCCCAATACCACCATACACACCTCTCCCCTCCTTTTTCTGTTCCAGAGGACCCTCAAAATTTAAAATTCTTACCCCATTTATGCAGAGAGGACTTCCATTCTTTTATACTTTTGGATTCAAAAGTATTTCTTCTCAATTCTTCTCAAGCAGTTAGTCCTCCCCCAATAGGAGCACTATTATCAAACTTTAAGGTAATCTAGTTTTCCCTGGTATATACTTTAAATTTTCTTATACTAACCAACCAAACATTTTCAAAATAAAGAGACTATAATATACTCCATGTCACTTGGAATAAAATGAAAAGTTTAAACCCTTTTCATATTTAATCTAAATATATATCTTCCTTCTCCTTCATAGACTGCAACAGTTCCTAAACCTGGGTGTCTGTCTATCAGTTGGAAATCTCTGGGGGACAGTCCTGACCAAACTGCAGAGATACTTATTGAAAACCAGGTTAAATAACCCTAAGTTATTGCAGGCTGATCAGGCCTGCAATCGTCCAAGTGAGTGGACAGCGAAGGCTTAAATGAGACAATGGTAATGATTTTAGGGCTCCAGGAGGGACTAACTCTCTTGCAGCTTCAGTATTCTCTGAGCTAGCCAAAGACTGCTCTGGGTGGCCTGTATTTATTTGGCTTTCAAACAAAGGGAGAGGATACTGAAGAAAACACGGGAATCTCACAGGACCTTGGGAGAATTTTCCCAAGTAGTAAATTATGTCAATCAGGAGAACTACCTTATCTTTAGGTTGGTATTTATTGTAAGAGTGTGTAGGGACTGCAGCTGCAGTCTCCTTGTAGTTAACTGAGGTTGGAGGGATACATCCTCAGCTGCCGCCTTATCTTGTCAGACAAGGTGCCTAAGCTTCAGACAACTCACAAGTAAACACGGAAAGCCAATTGGTTAATATTAAGTCCTGCTCAGAGCCACTTTGTAGTGGTCTCCAACAGATACTAATTCAGTAGATGAAGGTGGCACCTAGAATTCCACTTCTTAACAAAATTCCTGAGTAATTATTTGGGAACACTGATCACATTGGCCTCATTTTTAAGGGCTCAGTTGCCTAGTGTGGCTACTGCTTATCATACTGGGCAGTGCAAATATCCATCACAGCTGCAAGTCTTAGTGGCTAGTTTAGACCGTTGACTGTTCAAAGCATTTCCATGATGTTTAGGAAGTACAGCTTTACCACCATTCTTCCTCCACCTTGCAGACCCTGACCATGCCATCTGGACAGTCACTCCCTAATTAGAAAGCTCTCTTACTGCCTCAGCAACTTCTTTGTTCCTTTTGCTTCTTGCTCTTAATTTATTTCCTCAGCTCCAGGCCAAGCTATGGCCTTTGCTCCCATACTCTCATAAAGGTAGTCATTTGAAGACTAATGCCACTCTGCTAGTTTCACTCTTTCCCATTTTACCTCTTTACTACCTCATTCAGTGACGATGTGTACACCTCGCTCAGAGTAGTACTGTTTACTTCAAACCTTGCTGTCATCTTGGATGATGTCAGTGTCCAGTTAGCAACTGGTCCCTCAGATCCTTGACCTTTTCATCTCCAATCAAAATAAGAGCTAACATTTGCCAGATGCCAGTCACTGTTCTAAAAAAATTCAGCGTGTTATATATTTTGATTCCACCACAGCCCGGTAAGATAAGTCACTATTATAATTTCTGTTTTACACATGAAGACACAAGTAATTGGCTCACAGCTGGGCCACCATAACGTAGTAAACGCATGATCTAAATTCCAGTGCTCTAGTCCCAGAGCACATGATTCAACACTATAAATTTTCTCCTTCTAATCATGGTCTTTCCTCTATTCCATCCCTGTTACCCACTTCCATTTTCATACATAAAACCTGCCACCACTTCTACCTATGTTGTCTTCACATTGCTAATTCAGGCATCCCACCTTCTGAACAACTTTGTCTCCAGCAGAATAATAAAAACAACAATAAAAGTAATAGTAATAATAGGCTATACTTCTAAGTGCTTTTTAGTGATATTAACTCACTCCTCACAATTCTACGGAGCAGGTAGTATTATCTCCACTGTTTTACTGATGAGGAAATTGAGAAATAGAGAAGTTAAGTAACATGCCCAAAGCCATTCAGGCCATCCTCACAGGCTTCAGAGTCCACATTCTTATCTATTGTGCTAAGGACAGTAAGTGTAAGTTATGGTTTTAAAACATCTTTATCATCTATGATTTTTTTCCCAAAGGCACGCAAGTTCCAAATGTTTATTTGTTTGAAAGAGCTCCTCTGATTATTTGGATATTTGCTCATGTTAGGACTCATGAATTGGATCATTTCAACAACTTTCCCAACTTGGTGTCCTGGCTGAGTTTAACCTACTGCTGTTCTGCTAACTGATCAGAGCAGTTTTCCAAACAGGACAGGGCTAGGGCTGAGGATAGAAGCATCCTAGCCAGTACATTTGAATTAAAAAAGCATTAGTATCAATAGTTTGGAGGTGCTGAGGCAAGCAGGGATGGACAAATTTCCTCACATAATGCCTGATATATTATAATGCCTGATATATTATTCCTTATATTCAGTCCAATAGCCAGGAAGAGGATTAGCTGTATAGCTAGGAATCGCTCTGGGATGCAGTTTGCTGCTCATGAATGTGATGGCTTCTACTGTAAGAAAAAAGCAGAAGGAGAGAGCAAAGAAGATATTCCTGGCATAGGTCCAGGGGAAAAGTAGTCTGACTGAAACGGTTCAGTTCCCTTGGCCAGGAAGCAGCTATCTACGTAAACAGGAAGTAGAGGAGGTTGGGGGAGAGGGCAGTGGTTAGCTGGTGAGAAACAAGGGCTGACAGCAGATGGTGTAAGCGGTTACATGCAAAAGAGATTCTGACACAGACTCAGGGCTTTGCACGTTAATTACCCCAGCTCTCTGCTGGGAGGCCTTGCTTCAACAGGGCATCTGTAGTATGCTTTGGGTCCTGATCTCAAATGGATAAATCTTGGAGTAACTGTCCTTTACCAGTTGTCTGCTACATAGTTTTATTTATTTTATTATCTCAACATCCTGTGAAAATGAGATTAGGTTAAAAAAAAAAAACTGACTCTGAGGGATTAAATTACCTTGTCCAAGTTGATTTACATTATATACTATGACAAGCACTTATAAAGTAACTCTCTGAAAAATAACTGTTAGGCATAGGCTATTAAAAGAAAATACATTAGCTTTCTAGGGATGCTACAGCAAACTATCACCAACCTGGTGGCTTAAAACAATAGAAAGCTATTCTGACACTATTTCAGGCTGCAAGTTTGAAACCAAGGTGTCGGAAGACCACACTTTTGAAGCCTCTAGCAGGGAATAAATACTTCCTTGCCTTGTGCAGTCTCTGGTGACTCCAGGCATTCTTTAGCTTGTGGCTATGTGTGTAACTTCAGTTGGTGCCTCCGTCTTCACACAGTTTTTCCTCTTTGTCTTCTCTTTCTGTCTTACAAGGATACTTGTCATTGGATTTAAAGCCCACTTGGATGATCTCATCTCAAGATTCTTAACTCAATTACAGCTGCAAAGACCTGTTGTCCAAATAAGGTAACATTCACAGAGGCTGGTATTAGGATATGAACATATCCTTTTTGGAGCCAACATTCAATCAACCGTAAAGGGTATCACTATTAAAATATAAATGCAGATTTTATAGTATTTTTAAAACAACCAGAGAGTTGAAAGGGATATTATCTTCACTAGAGTTCTCATTTTCCTATCTCTGTTCTTTAAAAAGAGTAAGCTTTTCCAAAATGCCAGTCCCACTTCCCACTAATTGCACCTCCCTAAACCTGAGGCTTATCAGAATTCCACAGCAAGAGAAGAGTGTGACCCAAACCATGTGCATTTTGAAATGCCCTCCTTCTCACAATGTATGTACCTACATATGGTTGAGAACTGCTTCTCGGAGGAAATGCTATAACCCAGGCTGAAGGATAAGGCAGGTTGGGTTGTATATTTAGGAAAGAGAGAAAAAAGCCCACCCGTAGTGATCATGGAGGCTAAAGCTGGATTGATATGAAGAATCCCACATCCCAAGAGCAAGCCTGGAAGTTGGGGTCTGATTATTACAAGGGAGGGACACTGTTGTCATGTGACCTGTCTGAAATACAAATGTAATTATGGCTTATTCTGCCTGAGATCTTTCACTAGCTCCCTATGAATATCAGATGAATTTCAGATCCTTAACAGTACTCAAGAACTTTGCAAGCTGGCTTCTACATACTTTTTTTTTTTAGATTCATCTGTTATCACTCTCCTGTCAAAGATCATCTGCTCCTGCCATCTCAAAATGTTTGCTATTTCCCAAACAAGCCATGCTCTTTACTACTTTTCTATCCTTGAACATGTTGTTCCCTATCCTTGGAATACTCTTCTCCATTCTCTGCCTGATAATTCCTATTGCCACACGAGTATCACTCTTCTTGCCATCCATCAGTGATGCTGTGTTAACAAACCTCTGTAGTCCCTTTGAAGAGTTGGCATCTCCCTCTTCGCTGATTCCAATCATTCTGTTCATGGGAGCTGTTTGCCTTGGGTTCTCTCTAGCCTACCCCAAATACTTTGAGAAGGACAGAACTGTACTACTCACCTTTGAATCTCTAGTGTCTCCTCGGTCTCAATAAATGCTTGCTGAAAGGCGAAAGGATTGGGTTCTCATGGCTTTAAGTCTGAAACGCTTGGTTTGGTGACAGCAGGAGTCAGGCTTTTAATCATTGTAAAGCTGTCGGGCTGGAGCCACAGGCAGGAAAAAACACAGAGGCAGTCCTGGAAGTTAGTCTGGAAGAGGCACAAGAAGCAACTTAATGAAACCAACAGTGAGGTTATCCAAGTTGGAGACATAATGTATGTGGTTTGAGAAGATCAGGACCCCCTGATCCATTCTCCCACCTTCAGTATGAAAACTACTGAAGTGGAATCTTGTTGTGCAGTGTCAGAGGTAACACCTTAGACAAGATCGCACACATTCAGGGTGGTCAGGCCCTGTAGATAACACCTTAGAAAGGGAGTGATGACAGATGAGGTACAACTAGAAAGTGTCAATACTGACACTCAGGGGCAATATGGTTATATGATGCACTGAGGGGAAAAGGTCAAAGAGAAGCATATTTGAGAGTCAAGAGAAGTGGGATTGGAGCCCCATTGGCTGCTATGCATGTATTGGTGATGAATCTATTATATTCTTGGTACTTTCTACACTTTGCTGATTGTGAGGGAAGCATGCCATTTTGCCCATGCCTGGCATTTGTTCTAAGAGCGTCTGATCTATAGTAGTGACAGCTAATGAGATGGTATAAGAATTGCTCTCAAAATGATGGAGCCTCTAAATCAACTGGCCCAAGCAGCACAGTGTAATAGGAACCTATAGTCTAAAATCAACCACAGACTAACTGTAGTTGTTTAACTGCCATGTGCCTTCAATTTCCTCTTCAGTAAAATGGGCATGATAATAATAAGATATACTTCACTAAGACACTTTTAAGATATAGTGGGTGACAATAAGTACAGCCCTTAATAGGAGTGAGCAATAAATGTTATCTACTATTATACTATCTATTATTAACTACTAGGAGGAAATACACCTAAGTACCACCTTCTGAATGGAAAAAATAATAGTTATCTTTCTCTATCAGAGTAGTACCTGTATTACTCAAGACCCTCTCCATTGCAAGTGACAGAAACCCAACTCAGACAAAGAGGACTTCATTGTATCTGTCTAAAAGGTTTAGGGTTATCTACACTAGCTTTTGTACAGTGGGTATGGGGTTCAAGGGCCACCACTGTCTCTGGCTCTGCTTTCTCAGTGCTGATTGTACTCTCAGGCAGGTCCCTTCCATAGAAGCAAGATGGTTGTTAGGAGTGCATCTCCACAATTAAGTAATTTTCTCAACATACACGTTTGCAGCAAAAACTGGTCCATGTTGGATCACATACTTGTTCCTGAACCAATCACTTGCTCACTGGCTGGGCATAGACCATGTAACCTGTCACAGAGCAAGAAGAACCTGGTTCAAGCAAACCAGGAGGAGGCCACAGCCGCAGAAAGGGGAGACTCAGATTTTGTGGAACTTGAGACTTTATAATTTGGGCCCATCTTTCATAAAAATAATTTAACAGTTTAAAAAATGGGTATAAAAGTAAATTTTATGCCTGTAATCCCAGCACTTGGGAGGCTGAGGCAGGAGGATTGTTGGGAGTTCGAGATCTAGGATACAAAGTGAGCTCAAGGCCAGCCTGAACTGCATAGTGAGACCCTGTCTCAAAAAGAACAAAAAAAAAGTAAAAAAATGCAAATTTTATTAGGAGAGAAATGAATTCACAACAAACTATTGGAATCTTGGGGATTTAAATTACTTTCTTCTAAGATATTTAGGCAATTTACCAGAAGTGCTGTTATATATGTGTTTGTTACTCATTACTTAGCTAGCCCTCTCCACCTACAACGATCCATAAATCCCAGCACTTACAGGGACCCAGGCAAGTGAAGGCTTCTGAAATTTAAACTTTGCTAGCCTCACGATAAATCCTCCTCTGGACACAAAGCAAACAAAAGGAGCAGATGCCCATTTCTTCATAGCAGCTTTCTTGTTTTAAAGAATGAGGATCTGGATGTATATTCAAATAACTGCTTGGGCCACCACATCTGGGGAACTTTGGGCCTTGGCAGTACAAATGTTCATCGTTTTGTGCTTTGTGGCACTGGCCAAACCCAGCTGGATTTTTGCTACACTGATTTTAACAGCTCCGCTCTCACGTAATTCAGTGCTTTAAAAGGCCATGTTTTACTTTGCACTGATGCTTTCAACAAGCTCACGGAGGCCATTGGCCCTGGGAGCCAAAAGCTGAACCTGTCTTGTCACTGCCTGTGGCTGTGTCCTCATTTCCTTTTCTTTTTTCTTCTCCCCTCTCTTCTCCTCTACCTCTTACTTTTCTTCTTCCTGTTTTCCTCCACCTTTTCTTCTTTCTTCTCTGCCTCGCTGATTGTTTTGACAGATCATTGAGTTCAGACAGTACATCACACATGAGGCCTAAATTATGAGCAAATTCCATTGACGTCAGGCCATTTGTACACCCAGTGCATTTGGCTCAATTTTCGGCATCGCTAAGCTGTGTCCATAGGAGACACAGACAAGTGCCTTCAGGGCAACAGAGGCATTCCAGATGGAGGTGTTCAGAGAGACTCCCCAGCACCCTGCCTCCAATCTTGGCCAGTGCCCAGAATGCCAGAGGCCACTGTCGGCACATCCCTGCGGCTGCTGTTGACTTTTGAAAAGAGGGCAGCAAACACACTGTGACTTATCAGAGGAAACCTGCAGATGATTAACTCTGGGTCCATTATAGGCTACATTTCCACCCAAGTGGACTCCAGGACAGGGGTAAAAGCAGGGTAAGAGTGAGGGCAGACAGCGGAACACAAGGAGTTTGGCAGTAATTGTAAATATTTTCCCCAGCAAAGGAAACACAACAATAGAAAGGGGGAAAACACCCCCAAACAAAGGTTCAGATCCCTGCTATTTCATGTACCGCCTGTGCACTGACAGATTGTGGTAGACACCTGCCCAGCATTTGGTTTGGTTTGGTTTTTCCTGCACTCTAACTGCTGAAAATAGCCTTTTTCCTACGGAGTACTTCTTTCCTGCACCATTTTGCCTTAGAGCTCTGACCTCCTACCTCAACCCCTCTCCTTATCCTCAGGGGTGGTACTCAGCTGGGTCTGTTACAGTGTCACAATACCTGGATATAATGAACAAGGCATGGGGTTTATGCTTCTAGTCCTCCCTTGACAGTTTTCAAATTTCCACATTGTATCAAAGCTGCTTAGGGATGCTAATATACTTTACAGCTGCAAATAGAGGAGAAAGGAAAATAGCTGTCACACTAGCTGGGAGAAATGGAGACCCTCAAAGTCAAACAGCCATGCCTCTGCTTCTCTGAATCGCTGCCACAACTACCTAGATTTATGGAGGTGATGTGGGATTACACATATGTGTATTTTTCTGGCAGCTGAAAGTTATCTTTTCAAGGGTAAAGGAACCTCTCCTCTTTTCTTGTTTTTTAAACCACGTTATTTGCAAGCTTCTAAAATATTTTGCATGCTTTCCTTTTAAGATAGAGGATACCACTTTTAACTTCTTTGGCTCAGGGTCATTAAAATAAGCATCGATAAATAGGTTGTATGACAATGTGGTTTGGGGTTTCTCCTCTCCCTCTTCCTCTTTCTCCTCCTTCTCCTTTTCCTCCTTGTTCTTTGTCTCAACCTGTAATTCCTAACTCCTGCATGCTTACCAAGCCCCACAGGACTAGCTCCCACCGAGGAGCTTGAGGTATTCTGGGCTCATTCATGGTCTAAGCCTTATTCTTTATCTCTCTTGTAACCCCCTTTTTTGGTGTATTCTTGCATTCCTTTGACTCCTGAACTTCTGTTTGCTTCCTGCTTTTAGGCCAGCAGTTTCCCTTTAGATCTCACCTGTGATACGGCTGCTCTGTGACTGACCTTTGGTCCCTTCCTCCTGTGCCATTCTGCTTTTGCCCTTGGGCTCTGTTTTGCCTCCAGCTGGCAACTGTCCTGAGCCAGGCTGGGGTCCCCTGACAAGAGATCAGATGTTTGTGTTTCTGTCTCCTTTCACGTGTTAAATGGACTGGGATTATTTACTGCAGGGAAAACAAAGTTAAAGCACTACAGTAACCTCCAGAGTAAGATTTAAAATAGCTGGGGATAGGAGAAGGGTTATGGAACGTAGCCATAGTCCCACTGCAGAGAGGAGACTGTAATTAGCTTCATGGAAATTGGTTGTTTGGGGAGCATCAGTTACACTTTTTATAGGTTAATTGAGTTACAGATGCATCTTCGCAACTGTCAATTTTCTGAGCCCCACAGCAAGGCTGCTGTGTCCATCCTCCCTGGGCCTCACCTTCTCTTGGTCCCTCCCTGCTGTCCCACGATCTTTGGGATCCCAAGGTCATAACATTTTTTTTTTCCTGTCTCAACAGACCCATCTCTTCATCTCCATAAGAATGGTATCAAGTTAGTAAAACATGACAGCATCTGTACATACGTGTTCAAAGTAAACCTCGCACTTTTCAAGGGTTAGGGGGAGATAAAAAGCTAAAAGTTTCCTTCTGAATGTATAGATGCCCTTGTTTAAAGCTATAGGAAATATTGCAAAGGATGAATCATGCCAAATTAAAAGTTTAAGTTAAGTATAAACATCTCAGTCCTATTTTAATAACTTTGGGGAACACTGACCATTGCCGTGTTCTCAATAACTGGTGGAGTAGCTGTTCATCTCTTCTTGTACACGGAGCCCATCTACCCATTCAGACACAGAAGGCACATAGAAGCCCAGGTTGGAGGTGACTTGCCCCCTCTTTCCACCCCTTTTGCTGTCTCTAATCCGTTTTACTCACTTTGGCTCTGTGATCCCATGGTGGACTTTAGTGCTGTGGATCTCAACCCTGATACACACTGGAAACCATCCAGAGAACTTTTAAAAACTCTGGTGTCCAGATACAAATAAATAAATCAGAATCTCTGGGGCTGCGGTCTAAGTATTGATTCCCTCTGCCAATGTTTCATTAAGAAAAATTTCAAGCATACAAGAAAGTTGAACCTGTATATCCATGACCTAGATTCTACTAAAAGCATTTTATTATATATCTCTACCCATCTGGTGACCTTTTATTTCTTTCTTTCTATCTATCTATCTATCTATCTATCTATCTATCTATCTATCATCTATCTATCATCTATCTATCTTCCTCTAGCTAATTACAAGTCC